GTCTTTGTAAAAAAGCCATCGATGCGAGATTAAGCGTATATATTCTCAATAATTTGTATACAAATTCGAAACAACTGAGAAAATAAAAATTCCATACAACAAGTCTTTGTAAAAAAGATCATAAGCTACGTTTTCCTTCTTAATTTGTTGCCCTGCGATTAAGAACCCTTATAGACGCAACCTTCAGATGCTTCCCTCCCAAAAATAATATCCAGCACGTCATAATATGGGCAAAGTTTATTTAAATAATCTGGAAGGGAAGCAGAGACATTAATACGTATACTTGAAGGAAATTGGCATAATAAGGCGGTTGCTCTTGCAATAGAATGGAGGACATTGTGCGAAAATCGCAACATATCCTTATTGCCATTCTTCGTATTAACTTTTCAGTGACATTGACATAGTTTGGCCTGCACGAACTATACCCCATACTGGCTCTGCGTACATTATGACTGTTGTTATCACTTTGCCCAAAAGCAATCGGTTCCTTTATATTGGGTCTCCTATATTGACCATCATGCGGACGAGTGCTGCATGTACTTGTCTAGCTTTACGTAGTGTGATACGAACGATAGTCTAGCATCTAGCAACACCCTGGAGTATTTAATTGTTGCCGTGGTACATGTTTCATGGCCGCCTATGTACGACCGTTTCGCTGCGCTTTATGCTGGTTACTAAAGGGAGTTCAGTCTTCTGCGGAGCTAAAGACGGTTTCTTATTCGTGAGCCATGTTTTAATATCGCTTGTCATTTTCATCTTGTATTTGTTTTCATCTTGTGTTGTTTGGCTATATAAACAATGGCCGCATCGTCCTAGCCTATTATCTTAATTCGACTAGGTACTAGTAGCCATAGCATGGAGTCGAGTGGAAAGCCACACGCCACGTTGTTTGTTTTAATGCCTATTTCCGTTTTATAGAGCAACATGCTAGCACACTCATTATGAACATCAGATATAGGGGCACAGGTAGATTTTGGACCAACTGCATAATGCACGCGCAGCTCGCCGAGTTGAAGGCATTCTTTATGTCCGGAGTGATAACATCACAGTACTTTTGCTATCGTTTTTCCATTTCATGCCTTTTTAGCGTCTTCAACAAGTACTTTCACATAGACTAGCGTCGACAGATGGCCGCTCCTTCGGAAACCGAACTGATTATGCGAGATTCCGCCCATTTTTTCGATAATATCTACCCATCAACTGCAAACGGTCTTCTCCAGCATTTTGCTTTGTGTGTCAAACCTATAGAGCAAGAAGAAAACAATGTAGATAATCATGTTCAATCTTTTTGGGAAGTTGAAGATAACTTCAATGGATCTCGTGTTATCATCAAGTTTTTGAGTAATATTTTCAGTAAACAATCATTCGACTTGATTTATGTGCATATTCTGTAAGCCTGCCAAAACTAAAAAAAAGTGGTTAAAGGTTTAAAAAATACATTAAATAAACTTGAATTGAAAATGCAGTAAACAAAGTTCATGAACGTATGTACGGACTTGAATGAAATGTCACTAATTTCTTTCCCACCAAGAGTCACATTTATTACCGAGTACAATACGTCTTATTACCTCCAAACGATTTAGCTTATTCCAATCCTAGATTCTAATCAAAATCATTTAATACACTCTTACTATTTTGTTTCTTTAAGGTAGCTAGCACAAAGCAACGCGCTTAGGTGACATTTGCTAGATATGTAAAGACTTCTTATTTAGACGACTATTTACCATCCATTCTTTGAAGAAATAACACGCATGAAACAAAACCTATAAATTCAATACCGTTACTTGTAGAGCAAGACAGCGGCGGCAGTATGTTCTGTGCAAAGCTTTTTTTTGCAGAAAAGTGATATTATAACCTGTTCAAACCACTAGGCCGTTTTAGACGACATTTTAATATTAGGTCATAGCAATCCCAAAACCGATAGTTTCGTGTTTCCGTTCTCACCTGCGAGAAATAGTATAGCTCATCTCTATGCCCATCGGTGTAATTGGTTTAATAATTACAAAGGCCAAGATAGTTGTGTAGATTTTGTGGAAAAACAATCTGGAGCAGAACGAAAGTCTACTCCAGTTATTGGATTGCGCATGGCAGATGCAGGAGCTCAAACTTAGCCTTCTTGCGCCGTTTGATGAACATGTAGCAGATATATTTCGTAATAAAAGGGTAAACAGAAGCATTTAAGATTAAGCTTCATTCGTAAACAATATTTGCTGATTCAAATCTTCGTGGTTGGTGATTTGAAAACTCAGCTTCAGATTTTGATACTATTACCAAAACTTCCTATGTATGCCAAAGCGCGAACCACGCGTTATCATGAGGAATTTTTACCTGCAACACCTGAGTGACTTATTGCTGCATCTTTGCAGCAGTATTTTCCCACTGATGCGTGAAAAACAATTATCATAGACTAGAAATGTGGAGTGCACAAGAGCAAAATTGGTAGCAGTACCTCGAGTCATGTTTGCCGTTGTAAACACAATGTTAGTGTCAAGTTAGTTAAAGTTAGCCCCATGTCTTGTGACTCGTCAGCATGCATACACAGCCGTTCTTCGTAACCTACGCATTCGTTTTCATTTCTCGTTTGGTTAACAATTAAAAAGATTACTGTCGAAAAAACAGCGTAATTCATAACATTTTATTAGGTATTTCGTTGTATTTTGGCCACTTTTGGCATTGAAAAGGCATTTATTGAGAAAAATTGGTACAATACATATTAACCAAAATTTTTCCATCATTTTCTACATTTTACCATATTTCTGGCAACATGGTGATATCGTGTCAAAAGAACTTCTATTGGTTTGGCAGCGATTTACCCACCGACTCAAGACGCGCGGATCCGCGTACCAGCCAAGTCATGCTACTTCGATCTGAACAAGTTGTAAGGCGCCGTGCCTTATAAGTACTCATGGCGTAACAGAACTTCCCATTCGGGCTGCAACAGTGTATCCTGGACAACTCTTGCAACAAGTGGACAAAATGGCATTTTCATTTAATTCGTACGTTAACCATCTTGCATTGAAAAAAATAGGGCAGCGAATTTTCTTGCTTGTACAACTTGGCACCTCTGCAGCTGGACCACATGGACTTGAAGAGCATTTATTACTTTTGCTTATATCCTTCCGATGCTTGCGCTGAATGTAACTATCACTTGGAGATGCCCTTGCTGCATTAGCGTAGATCATACGAGAAGGGATGCTCGACTTATTAATCTTATCATGCAAGTTAATGCTAATAAGGAAAGGGGTTGACGTAGGCGGATATATGCGATACCGGAAGAAAGGTATAGCAAGGTAGGCTGCAATTTGATCTTTTACGTATTCGAAGGGAAGATGAGTGGCGATATTCATTGGATACCGTTTTAATTTTATCGAATTTTCCACACAACATCGTGAGTTTTGTACCTATTTCTGAAACACTTTTTCTAATCTCCATGAAAATATTATAAAAATGTGTATCTCGCATCCTACAATTAGGCTATGACCAACATAATTCTTTCATTGAATACAAAAGTAGGTCTACGGCACATCTAGTAATAGCTGCACATGCGTGGCAGTCGCAAAGCCAGGAACTGATTAATGACCTTTTCACGCACCACATGGTGTAAATAAACAATCCACGTCGGAAGATGACAGACGAAATAGGCAAAAAAAGTTTGTCCGAGTATTCGCCACGTTCATTTAACACATTTGCAAATAACGTAAAACGCCTGGAAAGCATTAACAAACACAGTAAAAAAAGGCAATTTGAAAATAATGCCAAAGCATAGCAAAGCACAAAAAATAGGCAGATAGAAAAAGAAAGGGGGGAAATGATATAACTTGAATTTATTAGGGAATTAGAAAGAACAATAATAGAAACAATTGAAAAATGTGTAGAATAAATAAATAAATTGATATTTGTTACCGAGTTCTATATCAATAGATTCTTTTGGCGTACCGATCACTTTCCAGCTTAACTTTATGGAACACGTACCGCCAAACGTTTGTTGCAATTGCCTTGCTTGGGCACCAAGGATATGCTTGTGACGGGTTAGAAATGTTGAACATTGCTGCGAGGTGGCCAACATTTTACTGGAATTTCAAGTAACAGGATTTAGTGAGTGAGTATATAAAATCCGTTTTGAATAAAATAGATGCTTTCTTAATTTTAAAAATATGCTTGCCTTTCAATACCATTTAGAAGGTGACGATATTTCGGTGAAATCCGCTATGCACCTCAACTTGATCCTATATGAGCTGCAGCCTATTGTATGATATTTTCACAAATGTTATATTCATTGCATTTTCACATCAATGAAACAGCTTAAACTTTTTTTACAATTCAGGAACTTACGAATTGAGAGGTGTTAAATCGTGTATCAAAATCATTTTTTTTTATTACTTTCTATATTATCATATAAAATTCTTTAAGATATAATTTATAAAGAATTCTAGAAGCAAATTCAAAATGAAAGACGCTTTCAAGAGACCGTCCAACAATTATTAAGGCAAAAAACTCTATTATTAAAGAAGAAAATGGAGGACGATATGTCGTTCAACACTAAGGTACTGAAACTAAAGAAGGAAAAATCGTATTCCGTCTTTCGCCAGATCGCAAGTGATTTCAAGCGTGATGAAGAGAACTTAATTCTTTATGTTTCTACTCTAATTTGATCTAAAAGAAAATCATTTTATATATAATATAAGCAAATAATAAAATATAAAAAAACTCTGTATAATATATAAAAATATATAAAAACTCTGTAAGAGTCTTAAAGGAAAAATTTCCCCTTTTTTTGTAATTTGTGTTTCGCACATAACGCAAGCATTTTTTTCTATAAATTTTACTTTTCTTTGTTTTTTTTTTTTTTGTAACCCAGCTGTTTCACGCAATTTTGCTTAAAGTTTATTTTGTTTTCTCGTCTAAATTCAACCCTAAACAACCAATACTAACTCAGAACTACCTATACGCTCTTTTGATTTCGTGTAAATTGACAATTACGTATGACATTCTCAAGTATGAGAGTGAATATAATGGCAGAAAACCGATAGTCAACCAACACTGAATGCTATCACATACGCGATGTGAAAACAAACAAAAGCGTACGCCAACTTTCAGACACGTGATTACCCTCAAGCTTTCCGACTTACTCTAGCGGAATTTTCAATCGAATTCCCCAAAACAAAGGACAAATCACTTAGTGCGACGTTTCCTTCGAATGGAGCAAAGAACTTTGCAGAAAACTTGTGAGTTCTATAAAATATGTTTATATGTTTAACTCCGAATCGATCCTCTGTACGTTTACCTGCAGCAAAAAATCTACTCGTCGCAAAAAATAAATATCGACTTCAAAGTTGTCAAAAACAATATAAGTTCTTAAAAACAGATTATTATTGAAAGTGAGCTAAAGACAATCGAAGTACACGTTTACATTAAAGTATTAACTCCGAATACTTACTTTCGAAACCAAAAATTTGTTGTGTTTTTGCCCAATATTCATAAACTACATAGATGCGAGTATAAAATTTCTGCGTATATCCCAGACGTGACCCTGCAATTGCCTGTTTGAAAAGGCAAAAGAAAATTGGCCACGGCCATGCCTTACTGTATAGTATTGAAATCTAGATGTTTCTCTTTTTCAAAGAAAAGCCGCTGGGTATAAAGGATTAGGGCACAGGGAATATAATTTTCTTACTCGCATATTATCCTGCACTGCTTTTGTACGTGTATACGTTCAGTGCACCTATGTACGACGGACGAAAAAAATATCTGGATCGATCCAGAATTCGATGCTGAATAAAAATTATAGTGGCTATGAAGTATAATAAAAAGTCTTATTTCGAAAGTTTCTCGACAGAAATACTAAATTGATGTAGGAAACGTGATGTACAGGGGAGAGCTAAACTCCCGTATAGCAAAACCGTATAATTTTCGTCATATCATGATAAATATTGGTCAATGGTAATAATTTAACAAAGAAGTTGACTGCATCATTTGGAGCTGATAGCTGCGTTTCTTCCACACTGCGCCATTAAATCAGCCCCTTGAAAAATATTGGAGGAACCAGGTAATTTTTAATATTCTATGATAAAAATTGGTTGTAATAGTAATTGGATGTAGAACTTAAATATATTACGCCCAATTTTCGGGTCCCACGTTTCATAAAAAATAAACCACTAAGTGTCTAAAAGATCTAATGTGAAATAGTGTAACGAGAATAAGTTGACTGCAACATATATATCAAATTATTGTTATGGACAAATTTTCATCATATTGGACTTTTTTGCACTGAGTAATCCAAATTCTGCAGGATTAATTTCTACGTCAAATTACTATTATGGCTCCATTTTTACCATCGAATTTTGTAACCCACACTTTTTGACTATGTGAAGATTCAGTTTTCCTAAGAACGGTTATAAAAGAGCGATTTCAAAGAATTTCATCATCTGATTTAAATTTTGTACATCAATTTAAAATGCCGAAATAATGTTACTTAACCATTTTTGTCAAGGAATTTCAAAAATTGGATTTTTTTTCATGCAACGACAATTTTTAGTAAGGTTCGTCCTTGGGCCGAAGCACCTTTGTATACCAAAAAATACCTCAAAAATTGCGATAAATATGCATAGAAAACCTAGGACGGACAGGAATGCTTAGATCGATTCAAAATCAGTTTCAAATCGGTATAATAATAAATTTGGAATATATTTTCTAAGAGAATATAATTGCTTAATGCTCATTGTTTCATTATAATTTAGTTTCATATGTAATTTTTATAAATTTCGTTGCTATTTTGACGGACGTAAGACAATTTTTGACATATGACGCAGTTTACGTACATAATTTTAATGGATAATAAATTTCTCTGTAATTCTCTACTTATTTTGATTCTAACTATTTAAATAATTCAAAAAGTCATGTTCATAAGCATTGTTTGCTGTTTGCTAAGTTCAGCCTACGCAGAACAAAAGCTGCCCGTAGCATTAAACACATGGGCGTTTCTAGAAGCAAATCAAGTGGCCTGGGCAGTCTTGCATGAACCGGGAAAATCAAGTTTAGACGCCTTAGTAGATGGTGTAACAACTTGCGAAGATCGGCAGTGTGATGGTTCGGTAGGGTATGGAGGGTCGCCCGATGAATCTGGAGAAACTACTTTAGATAGTATGATAATAGACGGTTCTAACATGAATGTTGGTGCTGTAGCTGGTTTACGACATATCAAACAAGCAATTCGTACTGCTCGTTTTGTTTTAGAGCACACAGAGCATTCGTTATTAGTGGGCGATGCAGCCAGCAATTTTGCAGAAATGATGGGCTTGCATCGAGAATCCCTAACAACTCCTGCTTCGAAAGCAATGTGGTTAGAATGGAAACACTATAATTGTCAACCAAACTTTTGGGTTAATGTTATACCTGATCCAAAAAAGCGATGTGGACCTTACAAGCCCCAAAGTAAGTGGCTGACTACAAATTCCAACACGAAACGTTTAGAATGTAAAATGAATCAAAGAAATCATGACACCATAGGAATGATTGTAATCAACCAGCGCGGTCAAATATATGCTGGAACATCTACAAACGGAGCTACACATAAGATACCTGGAAGGGTAGGTGACTCTCCAATACCAGGTGCGGGAGCATACGCTGATAACGAAGTAGGGGCTGCTGTGGCTACAGGAGATGGCGATATTATGATGCGTTTTTTGCCTTCTTTGTTGGCGGTAGAGGCGCTACGTTCGGGTAAAACACCAGAGGATGCTGCTACATATAGCATCGAACGTATCGCACACTATTATTCAAACTTTAGCGGCGCTGTAGTAGTTGTTGATCGCTGGGGTAATTATTCAGCGGCGTGCATTGGAATGAAAAAATTTCCTTATTCGGTAGCTCAAGGTAAACATAAATCAATAATTAAATTCAGGGATTGTATAGTAACGTAATTGTTGATGCAGCCGTATATTTGACATAAAATGCTTCAAAATAAAAAATTCAAAATTTAACCGTTGGAATGCTTTACTGTCTATGAAAGAATATTGTTTTCCCCTTTTCTACTGAGTATTTATACATATTATTGAACGTGCTGGTTTTTCGTATCCATCACGGCAGTAAAGGCGTGCTTAGCCGCCTTAAACTCTATACTTTGATTCTCTGTAACCAACAAGAAAAGTGTTTGTGCTGTGCAGTTTAAGCATACACAAACAACATCTTTAAATCTTAGACTTTTGATACGCCACGACTCCCAATTATTGCAGGAATAATAATAACAGAATGCAATTGCAATGTTAATATAACTTAGCAAGTTAAATATTAAATCTAAATTAAAATTGGTTGTTTCATGAAATGCACGTGGTGCCTTCATTTTTTCGGAAAATTTGGCTATGTATAGCTTAGACCTTGGTGCTTGTACGATACGTGGAATTACCGAGTCGAATTGGGATAAATATAGTATAAGTTATGAAACATTTAAAAAGTGGCAAAAAGCTTTGATCTTGGGGACGATTAATATTTTGCAACAAAAATGCAAATTTTACTACGATGGGAAGGGTTATCTTTGTATAATTTAGTATATAAAAGTGAATTCTATATAATAATCTCCAACAGGGCCACACATACAAGCTTCCATGTCCATATTATCTACAGCCAAAATGTAGACCAAAATGAATGCGCGATGTACATCAGCAAAGTTAATTAATATCAAGCATAAGAAAATAATAACAACAACAACTACATTGCACTCATAGACAATAACTATTCCATCATTTAGTAATAACTATGAACAATATTCCATGTGTTATGGTTTAAAGTCCGTAAATTTCTCTGCTTCTCCATACCTCTAACCAAATTTCCTGCGAAAATGTGAAATATTTATGCAATGTTAACGATAAGCTTTTGTAGATCACTTCTTAAATTTCAGTTTTATAAAATATATTCCAATAAGAAGATGTAAAATTAGTTGTAACGACCAACCATGGACTGTAAAGTATGAAGACTATGGCAAGAATTTGGACCATCTTTTATTTAAGTAGTTGTGAAAAAATGTGTTTAAAAAATATGCTAAAAGGAATCTACCGGTTTTTGAAATTGATTATGAAGAATTGATTGAATATTTTTAAAACATAGATCATCTTTCTCATTGAGAAATCTGGAAATAGATTTGGTTTCGTACTTAAATGTATTGTTATGAAATTCGCTTTTACTAAGATACAGTCCGTATCACTGGATCGTGGATATTTTGATCAAGAGAAATACACTTCAAAGTTATTTTATTTTACTACTTTGTCTTTCACAAAAGTAGAAGTATTTGTTTACAATTATATTTCTTACATGTAAGATTATTCACAATTTATTTTGGCCGTACTCTCAGCTCAAATGTTCTTGCCCGACTAACTCTCTTTCACAAATATTCTGTTTATATACATTTTTACAAGCTTGTTACTATACCTAAATTTATGGTTTTATTTCTAATCCCAGCTTGCTTTTCCTCTAATCGTTTTCATCGGCCTGTACCTGCATGAGGCGCCTGCGAATGCTCATTTGGTTTTTCCTTCTTTAGGGAATTTATTATTAGGGAAAATCACTTAGCTGTAATTAACTGGATTTGGGATTTTCATAACAGTATGTTATATTATCTTTGTTCATAAAATTATTTATACGCCATAGGCCAAGTGTCTCTATGACAAGCTCCCGTTTTTTACATCTAAAAGGACTATGTATCTAAAAGTTAGCTTACGTTTCCGTTTTTTTTTTAAATTGTTGTTGTCTCATTTTATCCTTTGTATTGTTGCAAGTGTCGAAGCAGACATTGCTGCAATTTATTTTATTCTTATTTATTTATTTTGCCCAGTTACACATGAAATTCAACTAAAGAAAATTACAATCGAATTCAGTGCATTTTAAGAGAAAATCCAATATTAATTGTTTTAAAAACTAGTATACATATATAAGGAAGATAAAAAGAAGAATAATAACAAAGTAATTGAAAAATAAATTAAAAAGGTAAAAGCAACAATTCATGTATACCTAAATAAAAAGAGAGAGAAAAAAAAGAAAAAAATAAAAAGAAGCAGGTACACAGCTAGCGTAGAAGCACATCTGCAATAAGAACAGGTTGCAAGTGAAGCCCTGAACCATTGCAAACATTCATAAGCTTGACAACCGACACGTTAACAACACAACATTATTTTATATAAAAAAATGAGATATTAAGAATGAAATATTAGTTTAAGTGCGACATAAGTAAATCGCGCATATTAAGCAAAATTGCTTTAATAGACTTTAAAGAGTCTGATAATGAGAGTAAGTGATAGACATCATTAAGATTTCTGCAAAAAACTCTGAGCGGGTTAAACAGCTCATAATTGTATTTACATTGAATAAGTTTAATCAAGATAAAGTGCCTAGAGAAGCGGTTAGGGGCATTAAAGCTTATTTCACCAAGTAATGAAGGCGAGTCTATAGCCCCATTTATTACTTTGATTACAAAGAAAACTCCAAGAATAAACCTATGTTTCTCAAGAGACGGTAAGGACAGCAGAAGCAACCTATTTTCGTAGGGAGAAAGAGAGGCAAAGGGATCCCAACCCAAATTTCTAAGGGCAAACAGCAAGAATTGCTTTTGAACAGATTCAATTGAATCTACGTAGCACCTATATGAAGGAGACCACACAACTGAGGCATACTCGAGTATGGGTCTAACCAAACACATGTAAAACCTTTTCTTAATGTAGGGATCATCAACCCCTTTGGACCACCTTTTTATAAAACCAAACGCGGATCTAGCTTTGCTCATCGAGAGCTCAGTATGCAAGTTGAAACGTAACCTATGGTCAAATAGAACGCCTAAATCTGTGATCGAATCGACGTCCTCCAATTTATGCGAATCTATGAAATACTGAGTAATGAATGACTTTCTTCTTGAGAAAAAAAGCTTCTTACATCCACAATTTTTGTTAAGAAAAACCGAGTTGCGTTCAGTTTTGCTCCACTGTGGGCTTCTGCTCTGATGGATTTGGCCCATTTTTGAAAATAGCCCGCTTGATGCGATATGTTCTGAGATTTTATTTATTTTCCATATGATTTTGGGATGGTACGACGCAGAATGAATTTCGTAGTGTGAGTTGTGATGGGAGCAAGTGTGTATATAGATGTCTTATGAAATAACTTGTAACGGCCGCGAACAAACCTTGGGTAGGGTGTCTGTCGGTCTGTGTCAACCGCAAGCGGAGCAATAACGGCATGCCGTTAGACAAAATCATGCGATTTTGTGGTACCGCTAGTAAATCGCATGATCTTGCGGTATATGTGTTTATTATTTTATTTTCTTTTTCTTGTCTGATCTCCTTATTCGCAAGTACAGTCAAAATCGTATGATTTTGCGGTACCATTGCTTGCTTTTGCAAGTACAGTCAAAATCGTATGATTTTGCGGTACCCTTGCTTGCTTTTGCAAGTACAGGCAAAATCGTATGATTTTGCGGTACTCCTTTTTTTCCTTTTGCTCTTGCAAGCATAGGCAAAATCGTATGATTTTGCGGGATCTATGCTTGCTCTTGTGAGAGTAACGGCAAGCCGTTATAGAGAGAGAGCAACAGGAAGAAGAAGAGGGAAATGAAATGAAAAGGAGAAGTCTGTCTGCGTTTCAAAAATTAAAGTCAGAGGATAGAATTCTGAGTTGAAGTCAGTCGGAGTCAGGCACTCGCTGAGTGCAGTTCTTGTCGCGCTTTATCCATTAACAGTCAGATGTTAGACTTCAGTGAGAACGATCGATTTTCTAGTGGGCAAAAGTGTATAAATCGCAAAAGAAAAACTAGAGTAAAATAAGTAAACAAGTGTTCCTTAAGAAAATTGCAAAGATTTTGCACTTTTAAATTTATTCTGCACCAAAGAAAGTTTTGATTAATTATAAGGAGAAAACGTCATCGAAAACAAAACAGAACGAAAACGACACATTTTGTTAAGGGCCACAAAAAAAAAAGGGGAAGGCTTTAAGGAAATATACGTATCACCCCGCAGCAAATAAAGTCGGAGTTAGGCTCTCGCTGAGTGCGGTTCTTGTCGTTTTTTTATCCAGTGGTAGTCTTTGTTTACTGGCATAAAAGAAAAGAAAATAATGTAAATATCATATTTGTTAAAACAAATAAAAGGATAATGAACCATTTTTTTTTGCGAACTTTAAGAAAATCATGTGTCAACCTTTTTCGGACATTTCGCGTAAAATATTTTTCCGGATATTGCCAGAAGTTAATATTAAAATTAAAAGCAAACGAAAATTATAACAAAATACAATAATTTTGATTAACATTATAAAAGAGGCCATTCTAATTATTGAAAAGAAAAAAAAAGGACTGATAATGAAGGGCTTGTGGATTGACACGGTCTTAATATCACATAGGTGTTGGCATAATTCTTCGATTTAATTAAAATAACTAAATGATTCATTTTTGCCTCAGTTCGCGCTTATTGTGGAAGAAAATTATCGAAAAGCAAAGAACAGCATATGTAGAACGTTATTTTTTTTTCATATAGAACGGGTACAGCCGTCGCATATAAAGTTAGTTAGAGATGCTTATCGCGAGGGCCTGTGCAAATAATACACGTAAACCCATGTGATGCTGGGAATATAAAAAAAAAAAAACCCTTAACACACAATGAACACTTACACATATAATTGATTAATTAGAATCCATTTATTATTGTTAACAAAAAAATTATAGTTAATAAAAATAGAAATACTTTCAAACATTTCGTTGTGTGGTTTGAGTTAAAACAGACCAACTTGGGAATGTAATCAAAAGAAAAAAACAACGAAATCTAAAGGGAAAAACCCATTAACCCACAATGAACAGTGGAATATATAGTTGATAAAAATTAAATATACTTATTGTTGTTGACATTAATATTATAAATACGAAGTATATTAACGTAGGAAATACTGATGTTCGCGAAAAATAAGATATTTGAAAAAAAAAAAAGAATAATAAATATATGAATGAATGCGAAAAACAAAAAAAGGGCTTTTAATTGGTTTGTTACAACAAAGTCCTGAAGATTTATCGCCGCTTTTATGGGCATGGATGCAGAGAAGTAACTCCATGAACTACTACGCATACATTTATTCGGCAGCCAGTGAAGCAGTCACCATCACCTTGTTACACCACCAGCAACGAATCAGAGGGAAGTAATAAAATTGAAGGCAGAAGCAACAACAACAGCAACAGCTTACCGGGAGCACTAGGATAGCTGCAGCCGACAGTGAAAGCAGTGATATTCACCAAGTAAACGAACACTACCACCTTGCTTGTACTGTAAGTTATGTTATCTTTTCCTTTAAGCTATCCGATTTTGTTGTTACCCATGTGTGGCTAAGCGTGCGCTGCCACCGCTGTGGCTGAGGTGTAGGGGCGTGCACATGGTGGCCATGTAGGGCCGACGCTAGACGATGACCGACTGACCCACTGGCGACAGACGCACAGCCGGAAACTGACCAGACCTTTTCGTTCATTTAGTTTGTTTTTTTTATTATTTCATTCATTTTATTTTATTTTTATTTTTATTTTATTTATTTTTTTTCTTTGTCTAAAGAAAATTTTTTTTAAATCCTCGGCGGCGAGGAAAAGAAAAAATTCAAGAGTTTCATGACAAACTCAAATTTTACGAAAGTAAAGTGCGCTATATATATTTGCCAGGATAAAGAGTACAAGTAACGACCATGAATTGAACTATTCCAGTGCTTTTACCAAGAAAGTGCCGCGTGTTTCTTGTCGATTGCCCTCACGGTAGCAAACATCAGAGCAAGATCATTAATGTGTGATGATTTTGAAGGATGCGATATTATTTGCAATGGTATTTTCCTGAATATTCTTGTAACTAAGAGAAAATACAAACGAAACGTATGCGACGTGTGACTGTATAGTAAAGATCTAATCTCAAGCATATAAGGATGAAACGATTGCATTGGATCAGGCAGAAGTGCTAACTAGTGCTAACTAGTGCAAACTAATCTAAAAGTCGCGTTGTCTACATAGCTGAAATGTTGCAACCAAACTAAATCAGCTTGACTTTATGTGTTGACTCTCGGCACCTGTAACATAGAGGCAACTTGGAAAAAAAATTTACGATTGGGCAAAGTCAACAGAAATCATTTGCAGTAAACTTTATTGAAATTTAAAAATTATAATTATCTTTGGTGTTTTTACTTCGTCTGCGATTTTTTGATTGTTTCGATATTTTTTGTGTATTTAGCTCGTGTCTTTTCGGTGTTTTTTGCTTAAACTGATTATTGTAGATACCATACGTGTTTCCGCAAAATATAACAAAAAAAAATCAAAAAAAAAAAAAAAAAGAAATAAAAAATTGAAAACATTTGACATTATCCTCAGCAGTTTCCAAACTTTTTCAAGTGAGTGGTTATTTACCAAATAACTAAATAGTAGACAACTCCCGGGGCTCGGGGCCGCCAGATAAAACATCGATTAGATTTCATCTATTACCTGACACATCCTCCCAAAGAAGAAAAATTAAAAATTCTGACTTTTCGGTGTTGCCAATCAGTGATATCACTTCCATCTATTGACAAAAAATATATTGTTATTTTTTCAATTGGTGCTAGCGTAACAATTTCCCAAAACAAAAAGTGCAAAAACTGCTAACGCCTAGGTCATACGGCAAAAAATTTTTATTCAATTTTTTATGTTGCTGATTGATTTTTACTCAATTTTTTATGTTGCTCTTTGATTTTTGTTCAATTTTTTATGTTGCTGATTGATTTGTGTTCAATTTCTTATGTTGCTGATTGATTTTTATGCAATTTTTCATGTTGCTCATGATTTTTGTTGAATATTTTATGTTGCTCATTGATTTTTATGCAATTTTTTATGTTGCTGATTGATTTTTATGCAATTTTTCATGTTGCTCATTGATTTTTGTTGAATTTTTTATGTTGCTCATTGATTTTTGTGCAATTTTTCATGTTGCTCATTGATTTTTATGCAATTTTTTATGTTGCTGATTGATTATTATTCAATTTTTTATGTTGCTCATTGATTTTTGTTCAATTTTTCATTTTGCTTATTGATTTTTATTCAATTTTCGTCGATTTTTGTGCAATTTTTTATGTTGCTGATTGATTTTTGTTCAATTTTTTATGTTGTTGATTGATTTTTATGCAATTTTTCATGTTGCTCATTGATTTTTGTTCAATTTTTTATGTTGCTGATTGATTTTTATTCAATTGTGGTCTTCCTCCACATGCTGAAAGCTGTACACGTAGTTTCTGCATAAATTGCAATGATCAACACTCGGCGTTGGACAAACAATGCCCACATTTTGTACAGATGCTTGAAATTCTAAAAATCAAAACAGAAAATTACTGTAGCATGGGTGAAGAGCGACGCTAATACCGGGAAATAAATCCATTTGTAGCCCAAGGAATTGGCAAAAGTAATACCTCGCTACTGTTGCGTCGCTAATCGAGCCTAATAAGCCTTTAACTCTAACTCCTCCCAATGAAAAACCTGTTCTACCACCAACCAAAAATTTTACTGCGAAACCAGTTCCATCACCCGCCAAAGATAATATTGAAAAAACCAAAGCAACAGCAAATATTGAAAAAATTAAAACAACAGCACGTATCCCAAAATCTAATAAACTAAATTTCCCCGAATCACCAGCTCTCAACTCTAGTCAACAAATTACTAGTTGTAAAGAAACCAATCTTTTATCCCTTAATTAACCTTCAATTTCAAATTATTGACGCGCGTTCACTCGTTGCATTACAAATGTACGCAACCAGCTAAGTATATTATGCTCGTACATACAAGCCGTAGTGATACAAATAATCTTAAACATAAAATTTACAGTGCTTTTGTTTTATATTTCACCTTCGCAATCGTTCTCTCAGCAAGAACTCTACAATTTATTCTCCGTACTTTCCCCTCCATTAATTATATGCGGCGACTTTAATAGCTGGAATACCATATTGGACTCTACAGTGAACATCACCTGTGGTACTGTTTTAGAAAAGGCCTTCATTCATTTTAAATGCTAGAAAACCAAAGCACTTTTCAACTCATCACACCTTTTCACATATTGATTTAACATGTTGCTCTCCCTCACTTCTTCTTTTGGTTTCCTGGTCTATTTCTGATGATTTGAATAGTACTGATTACTTTCCAATCATAATCGATCTTAAACTTTCAATGTCCGTTGTTACTCCAGCAAAACAGGCCAAATTCCTCCTAAATAAGGCGGATTGGATCAGGCCAATTCATTCCTGAATTCAAAGCCATTTAATGGGAACTGCAACCATGATGCTGCCATTATGTCTAAAGCGATTCTCACGGCTGCTCATCTCTCTATTCCTCAATCCAACAGCTCTTTTAAACGAGCTAGGCTTCGTTGGTGGAACAACACGTTTTCGTTATGGAGGCAAAACAAAATGGATCTGTGGCACCGCTTTAAAAGATTTCCTGATCATGATCATTTGTTGGTGTATAAAAAGGCTAGTGTTCTATTCAGGGAGGAATTATTCAAAGTAACTTAGTTTCGAACTTTTTTCGAAAAAAATTCACAGCTATACATCAACGAAAATTGTCTGGAGCAAAATCAACAGACTCGATGGGACTTCAAATCTGAACGAAATTTCTGCCATTTGCAATCCCAATGGAACTTTAACTGACAGATGAGATTTCTAATCACTTTGGAAAAGTGTGGTGCGAATACTCTTCTGACAGCAACTTTTCCAATGCTCTAATCGCAAATAAAAGGACTCCAATTTCTCTCTCAAATAGTGTTAGAGTATAGATGTGCCACCTTCCTGGAAGATGGCATACCAACCTTAGAACTTGAAAGTTGTCTCTCCAAATCTAGCCTGACCTTTCATATATAGAATTTCCTAAAAAATTGTTCCTTATTTCTAGAATAACCAATAAATGAATAATATCTAAAGGACCTTTGTTGCATGTATCAAAAAGAAATCGAATAATTTCGAATATTTAAGATTCCATAGACTATATTTGTTTTACAAATTATTTTTATTATAAATATCAAATAATATCAAAATATAAAAAACAAAGTATTACAATTCATTTTTTTAATAATAATATTGCGGCGGTCAAAAGCACGTACATGCTCCACCCGATCCTTCAAAGTCACTACATTTCAGTTATTGTTCCGTATAGCAAAAACCTGCGATTACAATGCTTGAAAGCGTCTCATACGTCTATCATACATTTAAGTTTCTGCATAATTTTAATAAAAATTAGGTATAAATAATTCAGTACGTATGGAAAATTAAGTAGCTGTTAAAAGACTGACAATCCATTTGACATCTTACATCAATACGTTGTAGCTATGTCTGAAACACCAAAGTATGCTTTTAACACCTGATGATTGGTTAGAGCTCGGCGATCTCTGCAAAATTTTCCGCATTCCGGGCATTGATATGGTCCACAAATAGATATTAAAGTTGCATGGTGTACATTATCGATTTTTTTAATTGCTTTAAGGATATCAAAAGATCACACGCCAGCTAAGCCGCAAAGACTGGCCAAGTTCGCAAACAGAGAGTACCAAAGGAAGCGAGCTGACGGTACCATTTAAGCGATGCAACAAACTTGCTAAGAACAATAACAGTATAACTATTCAAGTCCAGTAATTTTTTACCTTATTTGAAAAAACGATGAAACGTTCCCACCAATTTAAATCTTTATGGTAAAGATGCTGATTGGTTGATGTGGTTGGCTCCTCATTCTGTACAGATTTTATATCCTCTTCTATGCTGCCTCCACCTATTATAAATTTTTGACGTAAATGCTTTAACTGCTCATGAGTCAAAAAGACTGGCAATACCTCCGAAATTTGTAAAGCCAATTCTCTTGTGGGTGAGATAATTATAGCTCCGATTTCTTTAGGAGTCCACAGCGACTTAACGTTTCCAATAAAGGCACTAAAAAGGTTAATGTTTTTCTGTGCCAGTTACAGCCTCCGCAGAAACATCTTTGCGTGACAAAAGTAACGGTATAGCAGCAGCCTTTGATTAGAAATATAAAAATTTCCTTTAATATCGCAATGAATTTAATGTTTGTATTAAAATTATCTGTGTCGTGTTACGGTGTCATTAATTCAAAACCCACACTTTCAACAACGTCTAATTCGGGCCTAGATAACGGTGGCTTTTTCAATGAGGTCCACTTCTTACATGACATTAACAACTTAATAACCAAAAAAAAACTTAATATTTACTACTTTTTATTTTGTAAAGAAATTATCCACGTGTTTGCAAATTCTTTTTTTACACTTCTTCTTAATATTTTCTATGTTATTTTAATTATTAGGGCGCAGGATGATATCACCCTGAAAATTTTGTCGATATTACAAAATAAAACAATATTCAATAAATAAAAATGCTTTGAATAATCTCTTTTTTTGTCAGTCAGCGGTTCTCTTCGGAGCGAACATTACATCTGCATACTATTGTAAGAACGTGTATGCAGAACAGAAACAAAACTATCTTCCAAAATTTTTGCGAATCAACACCAACACAAGCAGAAAATTTCTGGTGCTTTTCTGTAGATATTTGAAAGTTATGCGTTATGACGGGATCATTCTTTGTGTAGGCAAAAATTCTGTTATTAGTTTCTTTATTTAACGTCGCTTTCTCTAAAACGTTTGCAAAGCAGACACTGATACCGTAGGCTGAATTTGTTTACTTTTCGTAGTTTATTTTGAAAAATCGATGAATTCTATATTTTATGTCCACCAAACGCTTCGAAAATTTCAATGAAAATTTACTTATCGACATATAAACGTTATGAAGAATGTAGAACTTAATTTGTGGAAAGAATCACAATGGAGAACTTAATTTGTGGAAAGAATCACAATGTAGAATTTAAGATTTTGTGCTTTTCTTTTCTCATTCCAATCAAAGTGACAAAGCGTATTCGCATAGATATCGTTTTTTTTTTTTTTTTTATAAACGTTTGAGAGAATACAATGTCACATCAAAAAACTATTAATAGGATCTTCGCCAATGAAAAGAATGAAAATGGCAGATCAAGCTGTCGAATGGCTGCTAATTAGCAGTGTTACTAAAGCACAAAAAGCCCGTTATAGTTCTAGTTTGAATTTTAAACGATATGTTAGACCTTTCTGTCATTTCCCTGTCTCTGGACATGAAAGAGAGTAACTGAAAGAGAGAGCACTACGACATATTACAGAGCTGGAGCTACACTTTTTTCCGCGTGGCTATCCCAGCTACATGTACAAAATAAATTACAAATTATTTAAACCTATCGCAATTACTAATGGCGTGACGTCACATAACAGTCCAATGGTGCGTCGGTATTCTTCTCCTGTTAGGTAGTCCATGTCTATTTGTTGGTTCGTTAAGTCACCGTGCGAATATGATTTTCCAACGTTTTTGTCAAAATTGAAACCGATGCTTTAGTTTTTGCGACAGATAGTAGGTTTCTCACAGCAAGATGGACATCCTTAGGTCAATTGAGAATTTAATGCTAATAAAGAATGTGTTTACGTTATAGGATTCTTAAAGCTTCATTCCTGATGCAAACGTTTCGACAAAATGGGATTATTCTCATTCCTTCTTAGTGGATACAAACCTAAATAAAACATTAAGGGCGAAAATTAAACGACTAAATGTGAAGAAAACATCATTCCGATTTGAAAGGAAGACAACCATGTGAACAAACCAACTACACAAATGGAGTAACACTGTATAACCGAGGAAGTTCATTACAAAGTAAGGAGAAAAGTTAAAGCCTTTAAAAGGTAAGACAAAATTTAGTCACAATGAATTAATAAAGAAGAATGCGAATGCTGATGATTTCAAGTTTTGCAACAGGTAACTTAAAATTATTTAGCACTTTTATTTTTATTACGAAAATTGCTAGAGCATATACCATAACACAGAATCTGCAACTGAAACTGCGCCATTGAAACTTTTTTATTATTAATTTTTGTATCGAAAACTTTTACGTTCGTCTTAATGCTAAGCGTTCGTTTCGGTATCCTCTGTTGACTCTCTTAGCCGTGAGCATTAAAAATCGGCGACGAATGCTAACAACCACAACTTCCGTTTATGCAAAAATAATATTTATACACGCAAGTAATGGGGTGCTGGTCAATTAATTGGTTAAAGTAATTAACCAAACACAGTCCCATTATCTTATTTTAAAAGTATCTTAAGGGCATCAATGGTTCCAAAAACCATCTATCTTTCTTTAATTGAACGATTCATACCTTTTTTGCGTATATTTCGTCACAATATCTATACATCAGTTATATTGCTCCATATTTAATATCCCCTCGCCCCCACAACCATGTCTATTCGTATATTTGTCTGACGTTTTTCTCCATGTGTTTTTGACCGAATTCCGTACACTGTCATTTGTCAATCCGTAAACGCATATAATAGCTCTTGAACTGTGATGATTGACTTAATAGAATCAAATAATCACTATCCACACATTGACCCGTGACTCAAGAAGAATAATACTGAAAGATATTATAATAAAGCCAATAATAATAAAAGAAGAAAAGATTGTGTTAACTTGTTGTTCCAAATCCTTTAAAGGTCTCCATAGGAAGGTCTAGAAATCTATGTAATTGCTACGTGTTCTATAGATCATATTTAAGAAATAGCTCTAAAATCGAATCAACTGCGTACAAAATATTAGGCAATGTCGAAAAAAAAAACTTTCGTCCATAATTTGTAAATCAGGTTCCTATATTTCCTATACCCATCACCGAAGGATGAGGGGTATATTTATTTTTCCAGAACGTTTACAATACCCAGAAGGAAGTATCAGAGATCCCACAAAGTATGCACATTCTTGATCAGCATCGAATTCTGGATCGACTTAAGCATCTGCGTCTGTCCGTTAGTGTAACGTCTGCAATATTTTCGTTGCGATAAAAGTGAAGCTACCGGCTTTAAATTTCTACAGTATTTCTACAAAAATGGAGAAAGTTGACCTCGCCTGCCGAATATAATAGTGTATAAAAATTTAATTTTTTTCAATACCTTTATAACGTACAGAAACACCGCATAAAATATGTAAATTCTTCGCCAGTTTCAAATTTGGAATGCATCCAAACATATTCGTGTGTCTATCTGTACGCCCACCAACCTGCGTAGTATATGTGGTAAACATTCTCCCGTTAACGAAAGTGAAGATACCGTCTACAAATTCGCAAAAGAATTTGAAAGTGACCCGTACATTTCAAAGGACACGCCTATGCGACAACAACTTTTATTTTGAAAATAGAAAAAATCAGCTGCACCCTCTCCATATTAAAGATCATGAAAATTTAGTACTTTTACGTTTATTGTCTTTTTTAGGATAATGGTGATAGGCGTCAAAGATTCGTTCGCGACCGAATTTAATTTTCTTACATGTTTTTTTTGTCTTAGAAGATAGAATTTTAAAAATATTATGTGAATTTATAGGAATGTCTGTAGCACGTTTCGGTAATCAGAAACTTCTTTAACTTGCTTAACTTTTACGACACGGTGAAGAATAGATATGAACTTCTAAGATTGTGGGCCTTTTTCTAACGTATAACAGGAAGGTAACTTAAAAAGTCAAATATGCCTCCGGCGGTGTGCTCGTATTTGCTTTTAAAGTGACTGCATACAATCTTTCTTTTGCGTTTTCTTTGCTCTTAAGCTTAATTAAAAATTGTCTTTCCTTTTTATTAGAAATAAGATTTACATAAATCTTTAAATTAATGCAAAAAACCCTTCAATATTTAACACACGGCGCTTATTTCTTTATAACTTTTATAAAGCTAAACCAGAATGTAAAAAAATATATATTTTTATTCTTTCGCTTCTAAGTATATTGTAGTGTGATCGCATACCGTCGTATGCATCCACTTTAAAGTGCGACAGAATTATGCTAAATTTGCATAATTCTGTAACAAAAAAAGTAAAACAAAAATTTTGTCGCACTTCAACTGGCTGGGTATTGCATTTCGTAATGCAATACGATGCCAGGCGCCCTAATCAACACAATTACTATCTGTTTACGTTAGAATAATTTAGTGTAATAATTTGTGTATAAATAGCCAGGTAAGAATTGAATAAAATTAATTGCTATCAAACAATTCAATCAAGCGTTTAACTCGCTGAAAGTACAAGGCGTTAAATCCGCCCAAGTTCAAAGTTAGGGAACGTCTCTTGCCGAGCTTCATTGGCACTCCATGAGACGGTTAGACTTGGCGCACAGAAGCCGAGCAGCATAGGGCTAAACCGCGGTACACCGAATAGTAAAAATAAACTAAATATCATTCATATATACAACATCCGTACTGCACTCGGTACCACAACAGAAATAACTTTTTTATTACAATATACATTAATTATAATCTTTTATAACAAATAATAAACTTAATGGGTAAAACTACATTGCGGAGGCGCAATTATAATTAATTTTTACGAAAGACTTATGAGCGTATTGGAAAAATTTATTACGCATGTATGCACATGCCCTGAGGAATTTCAATTTGTGATAATTTTTTAGAAACAAAATGATGGCACAATAGCTCTCTCTACAGAAATAAAAAACTTATTTGAAATATTTGTTATCTGGCGAAGGCACTATGGTTTTTCGAAAGTATTGATTTAAGTTGACGTCGATTTTAGTTAAAAATATTGCATGTCTTTGTAAATATTACTTGAGCAAATATTGTAATTCATTGAAGATGATAAAAATAAGATGTAAAAATTTACAAACATTATCCTCTAATTAAATAAAACAAAAAGAAAACAAAAGGCAAGAGTATAATTCGTGACAATTTGTGATGGAAAACTTTACTTCCTGTAACCGTACGAATTAATCGCTTTGTATTCATTTTCCAATGTCAGCATTAAGTCATACTAGTTGTAAGCATCGACCAAGGATTCTGTACTCGCTCCACCGCATTCAGGTGGTAGGCATTCTGGCGACATGTAATTGTGGAGTGATTTACGATCTGTACCATGGAATATTATACGTGAAGTTAATTTTTCGCGCAAAAATTGTTTGAATAGCGATTAAAGATTTTCGGTTAGTTAACAATACGTATAGCTTTAACTCGTAATGGTATAGAATCCTGAAGCTAATCGATAAGACGTTTAGCAAAAGCTGGTGTAAATTGCCAAGTTTGTTGCAAACTTAAACCGTCCATATCAAATATAGCGACGGCGCCGTTAATTTGAGATTCTTCTTCTGCCACAGCTACCTTAACGTATAAAACAGCAGCCTTGAAAATTTCATCCAAGGCCACCTCTTTATGTTTCCAATTTTGTTTAAGGATCCAAAAAAAATTTTTTTTATGCTCTTAAAGAAAATGTCGCTATTTTTATTTGATTTACTTACTGCCCAAACGCAAGACTACTATACGACGATTATGTTGATCATGATTTTTAAAGGCTACACATACGTTATGTCGGCGCAAGATCCTGGAATATGTTAGCATGTTTGACTTTAAAGGAAAAATAGTGTTTCACCTAAACTGAATTAAATTATTAATTACGAATTAATTGAAGTTCAAGCGAAAAGCATTGATTATTTCTATCGCTCACCAATTCAGCGGCAGTTTCCGGATAATATTTACAAACTCTTAAAAATCGTAAAAGGAAGCGATCTTCTCGGAGATGTTTTAAATCGGTGTCAGCTAAAAAAAGTAGCTAATGTTATATAATTCCCGCTGCTCGAGTAATAAATTTGTAAAAAGGTTAAGTAAGCAAAAGAGTTTAAGTTTGTTATAAGCGTTTTCAATAAGCGTCACTTGTTCGACTGTCCATTTGTCTCCTCTTTAGTAGCTGATCTTCTCAACTTTTTGTATAGGTGCGAAATGCGAAATAAGGGTTTTTTCCTAGAACGGCATCAATCACATATGATATTTCTTAAATTTATACGCAGCAATTTCCAGTTTGTTTTGGATTTTCAGAAATTTCCTATTTAATCATAACGAGTAAAAAAGGGAGGAAGTAAATTTGTATACTCAATATTATTGGCCGCTAATTTTCCTATTCTCAAAATAAAAATGGAAATTTATATGGTGTGTGCTATGTACTTTAAGAACAACAAGCAAAACACGCGGAAAGCGAAGTTGTTCACAGTTTTTGTGGCACGGGCGTGTGGACGTTGTAGCCATGTCCTTTGATCAGTCTAGGCCACCTTCAAATTTTTTAATAAATTTGTAAGAATTTATATACTTGATAGAGTTTTTGAAGCTTGTTTCTGCACCTTGTAAAGGGATTGAAAAAAAGATTATTATCGCACTATATTATAGGGTGGGCGAAGTCCATTTTTCCTCTTTTCGTACAGATGCTGCAGCATCGCCCATAGAACATGCACTCACTTCAAATTATTGCAGATTTATTTGCTGTAGTTTATGAGTAACGAGCAAAAATTAAATTTTTTATTCCTTTTGAAAAACCAAGATGTGTTCAGTTCAGGTGGGACTGTAGGCGTGTCCTTCAGCCTGTTTTTGCCACTTTCAATACCACTTCGAAGGTCCGCCGAAAATATAGAGCTGCATGGGTGAGTTGATAAATAAGCTTCATTGTTAATATTTGGGAACTAGACACTGCAGCCTACAAATTCAGACTTACGTCCATCAATAAAGGTGAGTGGCAAATGTATCCATTTCGCATAAACGAAATTAGAGAAATTCTGCAGCAATAACTGTGGATTCTTTCACAGGCAGAAATTTGATTACCGGTTGGAAACTGTGCAATTCAAAAGGAATTTTGAATAAGTTATGTGTAACAGCCTTCAGAATTTTGTAATTATTGAATTTGTCAGCGAAGATTTCAAAAAATAAATGAGGAAAATTACACGATAGAAGGTCGTAAATGAAAGATAAAGCCGGGTGACTATCATTAGATAGAGTTTTATTGGAGACGAAATTGACGAGTAAAGTAAACCTTTCGAGTAGAGATATAACGTTTATCATCTGTTGTGTGTGAATGGAATTCTTGACGCCAAGAGCTAGAGAAGACATTTCCATTGAATTCTGCATAATTTCAAAGGATCCTCAGATGAAATATCCAATATAAGTGATCAAGCTTATTCCAGTACACGAGATATACTTTGGGTGTACAAAAAGCATCGCAAACCCCTGAAATACTACGAATGATTCTCAGGATATTAGCTAGTTGGAAGCATTACTTGCTAATTTTGTCAATGTGAGCAGCGGCCGAAAGTAATAACGTGGTACCTGGATACCTTGTAATTACGCGAATGAAGCTCGCCGCCCTCCACGTTACAACAGTTGAGAAGAGAACTACCGCCGATGTTAACTTACACTCTTTATTTCATCCTTTCGTTTATATCTGTCAATGTTTCTACCTACCGCTTACTTACAACCCTAAATTGCTAGTTACAGATTTATCGCTCTTATAGTTACTGCATAGCTACGTTGGATATTAGTTGCGTTATATTAAATAAATAATAACTACGCCGTGGCTACTATCTAGCCGAAATGACCCTCGACGCCCTTTCTTTCCTATTTTTCCCTTGTAATCGCAGCGAAATACTCTCGCAGTTATTACCGTCGTGGCAATATTTTCGGTTTTCCCGAATTGGTCTACTATAATTCATCTTATTGCCGAAAAGCGAGAATAACGTACAACATAACTTAGAAGCAAAGGGAGACGATCATTAAAACGAATGACCCAGATATGACGTTACTAAAATAACGTCTTCGACCATTTGAAAATACATGCGCTTTATAGCAGTTTATATACTATCACAACCAAAATTGTGGAGCACACATAAGCGTTCCTTAGCGCATAAATAACGCAGGAATGAGTAATATAATAATTAAACCGAAAGTGGATATTTACAAAGTTAAATATTATGATCGATAAAATAAGGATGATAATAATAAAGAAAGGATTGAGGAGGTACTTATTGTAATATACGTCTAAAATAGGTAGAGTATAATAATATTGTAACGTAGATCGCTCCGTCGTCACTTTGTGGCTGTTATTCAGTTCCTTTTTGAAATTAACTTCGTACCGTTGAATTGCGGTTTTTAAGGTGATATAGGTTTTATTTATAATTCTTTGGAGATCAATTTACAATTTATTTGCGGAAACTTATATCCACAACGCATGCAACGTCCGCGTATATACGTTTAGGGGGTTTCAGTCGGGTGACGTCTTCTCTGCTCTTTAGAAGAGAGTAGTGTTTCATAATATAACACAGTTCCGTTGATCAGCATTTCTTTCCATATTTCTCTGCGCTAATGCGCAATTTAAAAAGAGAACTATGAGAAGAGAACAAACTTCAAATGCCGTCTAAATAGCATAAAGGTGAATTTTGTTGTTTCAAAGCAGATACCTTGTGTTACGATTACGAGAAAAAATAATGACGTGAGAATGAGACAGTCAGTCTGCTTAGAAGAATGAGAAAAACGCCTTGTCGCTCCACAAAGAATCAAAACGGATATGTGATGCCAACAATAGATATGAAAATTGAAAATTAAGTAAAGGTACATTGAAAACAGTAAAAGTAGTGAAATATAAATTAAATTACATTAAAAACAGTAGAAATATTGGGGAATAATTAAAAGTACATAAAAGCACCAAAGTATTGAAAAATAAATTAAAGTACATTAATTTAATAGAATTTTTACATTGAAATTTGTTGATTTAAACGTTAACGAAATCCACACATTTATATAAATAAATATTGAAGAATGTAATTGAAGTTAAGTAAAGTCAACAAACTGTACTATAAACCTAAATTGTACAATTTTAAGCAGGCCAAGCAAAACCAAAGAAAAAATGTAACCGTACAAACAACAGCGACTATATATGTATATAAACCCGTAAGACGTATGTCTGATGTGAAAGATATTAAACATATTTAAATGCCAAATGAAAGGCGGAAGAGAAAGGAAGAGACATTGAACATATTCTATTATTTTCTTATATGAAAAGATAAGTTAATTTGTCCTTACTTCTTTTTTTACAGCATGTATAATTTTATGATGCAGAGCTAATCCATGTACACTTTCTAGTAAGTTTTGAATTTTTTTTTATTGCAAAACAATAAATGACAATAGTGTAACGTAAAAATATAAAAATAAATTGAAAGAGTAGAAGAAGAGAAGACTTCGTGAAGATAGAGTAAGTAAGAGAGTGTGTATGCGTGTTGCTATAAACACGGACGGCGACTTAACGGCCAGGGGAACAATACCGACGGAGTGTGGGACTGCTAATGGGACATCACGCCATTAGTGATCGCGATAGGTTTAAATTATTTGCAATTTATTTTGTAAATATAGCTGGGCTAACCCGGTAGTTCCATCATTTAACCCCAGTGCTGTATTACACACTTCAATTCCCATTCTGGTCTTGTCCGTTCGAATATTGCAATTTAACTCTCTTGATTCGATTCTCTCGACTAATTTTGCCTACCCCAATTATTTTGCTTATACAAACAAGTTACCATTGCATAAGTTCACCGCCACATTTTAGTTCCGTTTTCCCGCTAAATCTTCTGCCTTTCGTTGTTAACCTTTTCTCTAGTCGCCAGCTGCGTTATGCAGGCAACGCGCAACGAATGTGAACTTGGTTCTCCATTTCTTATTCTTAGAATTTCATTTCTTAGAAGATCCACCAATTTTCATAAAACTCGAATCATCAAATATGCCATTTTCGTAACAATATGACATTATTTTTATTAAGGAGGTGGTTATTGTGTACATATCGGAAAGGGCGGATATCCGACGCAGTTAATAATACCGATTTTCTGGGCTATTTTGCAAGCGACGCGATACTTCCTCTATGGTACTCATTTATATATTTTTTTCGGTTTTGCAATTTATTTAGTTTAGTTTAACTTTTAATTTTATTTAATTTATTCTTCCTTTCGGTTATTTTCCACATCATATAAAACCATATAATCTTGTTCGACACGTCAGTGTGTGTGTTGTGTTTTATTTGTCAAAACAACACCTGCACAAATTTTAAAAGTTTGCCAAAAACTCGCGTTTACGCATAACGCAAACTACATGTTAACTACACTCAAGTACATACGGTCAACTTTATTTTAACAAGTCATAACCACACACAACGCTTAACGCAGTGATTGCGTGGAGTGCTTCATTAAGGCAAAATAAAAATGAAACAACCCGTATGCTGGACATTTGTTGAAGTATGCATACATGTGTGCCTAATACAGAAAATGATAGCGTTCTGCTCGGTAACAAGAGATTAAAGTTCTCTACCTGGTGACAAGACAAGACTGGTGAAACTGCGCTTATAACGAAAAGGTGTGTATGGATTCGTGTTAACAATTCAACGTACCTTGCAAAGGTTTATTTACATAAAAAAGAAACACTTGTTTATAAACAGAAATATATATATATATGAAAAACAGCGAACACATAAGTAAAGGGTTAACAAAACGTATTTGTAAACAAGGCCATGCTAACGCAATGCGAGCATATATAATTTAATAAGTTAGAAAAGATTAAGGTAGGTATATAAACATTAGAAATGGAATTATTAAGCGTAGACATCTATTTAAGCAATAGAAATAATATGTACTTTTTGGCTTAGCTATGATTTCAGTAAGGGAGCAAACCGCTTTTTTACAACCAAATGGAAACGGTGAAAAATTTAACTGTAAACGCGTACGATGCAATAAGTATTCACACAATGATAATGCGATTTTGGAAAAGTTGTCATAGAACCTAAATGAATTGAATTTTAAAGATTATTAAATCTATGTAAATGGTACTCAAAGCATTAGTAGAAAGGAAAATTAATTAAATAAAGATTAACCCCATATATGTACTCCTCTCTCTCTTTCTCTGCTTTTCTTTATATAGGAATACATGGTGAGCAACAAACATTAAACTAATTAAACCACAAAATCCTCAACGGGCTTCTAGAAGTAAGAAAAAGATTTAAAAAATAAACCTAAAAATATTATTCGACGCCATAAGGGAATACATTGAAAGTTTTAATACATGTCGAAGTAGTAGAAACAAGCTGGTGGTACAAAGCAGCCACTAGTAATCACAAAAACACCGTCAGCAAGTTCCGAAATAATCCGCTTATTTCTATAAAACTGCAGAACAATTACTCGTTCCACTTATTATATATGTTTATTAAATATTCTTCACCTTTGCTATCTTTCTGATAACAGCATGATTCCACACTTACCGCGTAGTGCAGTGGAATGGTTTATGCTTCCGGCAAACCATCCTGACGGCCATATAATATTAAAAGAAGGAATATAAGGATTAACAGCGCAATTGCACTTGCTTAGTTCCAATCAACCACAACGCAACGAAATAACGCGTTTTACATATATTTGTTTATTGTGATTAGGTTGTTATTATTATACAATACTTAATATAATTGCATAAATTGGTTTAACTAACTACTAATAACCGGTCCGTCTACTCAAACGTCTACCCCTAGACCCTAGCAACATTCAGTCCAGTTCCTCCGTCCGCGCGAAAACCTAAATACCTCTGGGTAGGGCACACGATCAGCCGCCTCTGACCCTAGCGTAAGGTAAGGAACCGTTAACCGCATAAACGGCAAAACTTAAATATTACACAAAGACTGTATAAATACACACACACGAGCAGAAAATATGTATAAAAGGGTTAAAATGTATAAAATCAGTACAATACAAGAACACACATTTGAGCATAAAACATATACAGAATCTGCATAAAATCTGTATAAGATCATTATAATATATGAACACTCACACGAGTTTAAAAAGCTGTCTGGAATCTGTATATAAACTGTAGAAAATCACTACAGTATGTGGACACACACACGAATATAAAATATGTTTAGAATCTGTACGAAACTGGTAGAAAACCATATAGAGTAGGGTCGAAATGTATATTACTGTTAGGCCATACAAAAACATATACACAGGGATAAACACTTAGATATAAAAATGTATAGCACATATGAACATATGACAATGCAATAGGTAGAAAATGCATAAAAATGTACAAAGGCGTAGGATCACACATAGCAAACATGTAAACACACATATGCAAACATGGATAAACACACATAAACAGAATATACCCTTACTCCACATAAACGTAAGCTAAGTATTGTACACACAGGTTAAGAAACATAGCACTCACACACCTAACGGTGAATAAATCACGCGATTTGGTACCTGAGTGCATGTTAAGATAGACGTAAGTTGGCATTAAGTTATGTGTAAGTATTTCAGGCAAGTCGCAACTAAGGTTGCGTCAAACACGTCGAAGCCAACCTAAACTAAGCATGTACATTTTGGTAATGGCACAAGCGAGCGAGACGTCGGCTATAAAAGAGCATCTCATCACACGGAATCTTTCAATTTGTGTCATAGCCCCCTAAGGTAAGTGTGTACGGACAATTTGACAAGTCAACTTTTTTTTTGACTCTACGGATAGGGGATGTACTGGCTAGCTGTTAGTCGTCATCCCTGAAGGACTTTTTAGGACAACTGAATCTACGGATAGAGGATGTACTGGCTAGCTGTTAGTCGTCATCCCTGAAGGACTTTGTAGGACAACTGACCCTACGGATCGGGGATGTACTGGCGAGCTGTTAGTCGTCATCCCTGAAGGACTTT